ATATAAGTACTTTGGACCCTTCGGGATTGGTTTTCTTGCGGTAGATCTTCAACGATGAATTTCAATGTCAACCGAGATTTTCATGTCTGGGTCGTTGATACTCGTTCCTCTAAATGCTGATCATACAGGTCGCTATATTGGGGGTCTGACAGACCTTTGACAAAGTTCTCCCTTCGCGGAACAGCAATTTTGACCAGGTCCCATTTAGTGGTTTGCAGGATGTAAGGCTCAGCAGGGGGAAAGCCCAAGTCATAATCAGGCAGTATGTTATAGTCCCATAGTCCTTTATCATTATTATGACGGATAGCACTAGTGTTTCACAATGTGCCTACCGCTGGTAGCTCTTTTTTTGCCAAAGACACAAGTAGGAGTATGAACATATCCTTAGGGCTCCAAACGTCCCTTCAAGCTTTGAGGTTACAGCCTAAAACCTAAACTCTACATAGAGACAGCAACTCTACCACAGTCCTTATGCTGGGGGTATCCTAATTTCCTAAACCCTAACCCTAAACCTTAAGCCCTAAACCCGAAAACCTACGCCCTACGTCGGGTCTCCGCGCCCTAAACCCTCAACCCAAAACGGACCCCATTCCTTCCCCTAGGTCAAGGCAATTGGGTCATCGTCAAAGTCTGTGAAAATCAAGATCGCAAAGAAGAGGCTCCGGGACGAGGTTTTAGGGTTGAGGGTACCTAGGATTTGAGGGCTGGAGGGAGTTCAGGGTTTAGGGTATCTAGGGTATGTCGCGTTTTAGGATTTAGGGTATGGAGGGTTTTAGGGTATTTAAGGTGTTGATTTAGGGTGTTGGGTAGCTAGGGTTTGGGATATTTAGGGTCATGGTAGGATCCCTTGCCGTACCCTTGTTTACATGATACTGCGCCCACGCCCCTGAGCCCGGTTGAGATTTAGGGTTTCAACAAATTCCTTCCCTAAGCCCAAGATACCCCAAACCCTAAACCGCAAACAACGTCCAGAGGGTAGAGGTACAGGCCGGGAAATATTGATGGTGGAGTTAACCTTGGCCTAGACATATTATATCTATAGGGACTTGGACCATGTGGTTTCGGGTACAAGCCTATACAGCCTAAAACCCTAAATCCTGAACCCTAAACCCTAAATCCTACTGAGCCCTACAACCTAAATCCTAGACACTAAACCCCAAGCACAGGACTACTTCAAATGCTACCTCTACCACCTGCCGTCGTGGACTCCGGGCTGTACCTGGCTCCTGATTGGGCTGCTCGGGTTTGGGGTGTAGGGTTTAGGGCTTACAGGTGTCAAGATGCGTGCTTCTCAAAACGGTCCCTGTATAATCTCAGACCCTAAACCCCTAAACCCCTAAACCGTAAAACCCTGAACCCTTCTATGATCCCTTTTTGGGACCCCAAGAATCCCTTGATAATTGCCTTGGCATCCCCTGGGGCTCTCTATTTGAGAAATGTTCATACGATCATCAGTTCTTAGGGGGTTCATGGAGTTTAGGGTTTAGGGTTTGGGATCATCAATTCTTAGTGGGCTCAGGGATTTTAGGGAGTTTAGGGTTTAGGGTCTTAGTGGGTGTTGTCAGAATACACAATTGGAAACATTTCAGCATCGGCAGAGATTAGGACCAGCCCCCTATAGATTCCCTAAACCCTAAACCCTAATTCTTAAACCCTGAGCAATTATTCCGCAGTTAGTGTGTGCTCCATTCCCTGAGGTAAGCCACTGGCTCAGTCAAATTGGACCGACAACAGCTGCGACTTGGAAAAGGGAACCCAGCAATGTTTGTCATATGAGCTACGGACTAAAATTTAGGTTGGGGGACCCTATAGGGGAATATGTCGGGTTTTAGGGGGGAACCTAGTATTGAGCGATATACCACAAATTTAGTCCAGGGCTCATATGTGTTTTGAATGGGATAGTATAGCCCTCGATGTAGAGAGGGATCGCATCCTCCTGTTGAGTATAGTTTGTTGATGAAGTACTTTTGCTTGTTTCACCCATCCCAAACCCTAAGCCCTAAACCCCGCAGTCGTGGAGATGTCCAGCACATAGGGCTGTTGGGGAACTGAGGGATATGTGGGGATTGCAATGCTTGTGTGACTATGGGGAACTTGAGGGTAAAGGGTTTGGGGTTTAGTGGTGTGGGGTTTAGGGATTAGGGTTTAGGGGTTTCGGGTTTAGGGTTTGGGGTCTAGGCGATCCCCATGAGAGAGATATGAAATATTTGATGAAACTCTCAGCTCATCGTCTGTGTTCTCTTATTACTTGAAGCTTGGATGGATTCAGTAAGTACTTTGAACTAGGCTTCCTTTCCTTTTGTATACTCCGGGTAAGCTTCACAAGTCCAGTTGGGGGGGTCATAAATTTGGTCAGAAGCCCCTTTATAAGTAGTTACTAAGTCTCATGAACCTTCAAGTGTAGCGCAAGGCCGCTGACACAGAGAAAATTGCACAGGTGAGGGCCTGCGCAGCTGTCGTTTGCAGGCTTTTCTCTCTACATCATCCGCGATCTGACGGATTGTCTGTTTTTTCGGCAGAAATAGATTCGCGTAAGCACTTATATCACTCGCTTACTTTAAGAGCCTCCGGCTGAGTCCGCTGACCCAGATGCGGAGCAGTTGCGAACGCAACGATGGCGTTTAAACCTAACCCTGAACCCTACAAACCCTAAATCCTAAGCCCTAAACCTTGATGTTTTCAGTGGCTGGCACGAGACAGATCGGCGAAACAAGATTAGTTCAAGCTAGGCTGCTGGGACTCCGCAGCCTTGTTGTTTTCAGCGGCGCAGCAAGCCAGGTTGCCGGGACTATGCAGGACCAACATTGCGGTCAATTGTTGCAGACGTGTCCAATGTCATGAGTGCTTGGCTTGGGATGGGCACACTGCTGAGCCTCGGTCAGACCCTTGGGCCCGGGCTCCAGGGGTTCACCCTCTCCGTCTTTTAAAGCCATCCAACACGCCCAGGGGTCGACGGATAATCCATAGGTGAGCATAGCTTTACATACCCCAGAACGCTGTTCCAAACTAAAATGCTCCTGCATCATCTCGAACTGAAATCATGACAGGGCTGCAGGATAATCCAAAACCGTAAGCCGCGATGCACCCCGAAGGACACGCAAATATGTCATGCGGTTAGCTTGGAACTCATCCATAACCAGTTTATACTGAGTAGAAAATGCTGCATTCAATTGGCACGGCGACGCAAAGCTCCATGGTGCAAAATTGATCGACATCAGCGAACCTAAGGAACCGCCCCAACCCGCACTCCAACATGTCCACCCAAACCGCAGCGGCGGCCGTTAAACCCCAAACTCTAATGTCCAAACCCTGAACCCCAAACCTTAACCCCAAACCCTAAACCCCAAACCATAAACCTAAACCCTAAACCCCATAGCAAAACCTAAACCCCAATCCCCAAACCCTAAACCTTCAACTCTAAGGCATGGGAGTCAGAGATAGTGGCAGTAAGCTCGAGTTCGGTGAAAAGGCTTCCCTGCGTGATTCAGGATTTGTAACACTTCCGGTTTAGGATGTAAGGTTTTGGGTTTAGGAGGGTTTAATAGGATTTAGGGTTTAGGGTTTGGAGTCTAGGGTTAAGGATTGAGCCTTCAGGGTTGAGGGACTAGGGGAAGTCGAAGGGATATGTAGGGACATATAGGTGTTTCCCAAAATTAGGGGTACCTTTTTGGGGTTCCCTAAATATTAGGGGCCGTATTATAATAGGGATCCAAAAAGGGATCATAATTTTGAGAACCACCCATGTAGGTGTGTATAGGGAGGGGAAAAGACAATGGCAACTACCATGCGTTGGGGGGATGTGAGGGTTGAGGTTACCATTAAACACCCCCCTCCCCGCCACCCCTAATATAACCCTAAGGGTCCGAGTACCCAATAATCATATACTTACCCAAAACCTGTACTACCATTACTATTACCAAAACCCTAAGTACCCAATCATTGGGCACATGGACCCTTAGGGTAAAGGCTCCCAGTTTTCTTCTTGTGTGCCACAAGGATTGGTCTTATCAAGGCCATGGTTAAGGCTTTAGGGTTTAGGGTTTAGGGTTTAGGGTTTAGGGCCTAGGGCTGATCTAAGGGAAGGAGGTCGTTCTGCAGACAGGACTACTGTCGCTACAAGACAAGGTTGCATTCTCATCTTGATGCATGTCGGTAGTTCCGAAATTTAGGGTGCTATCTTTGTGCCCCTAAATATTCGGTGCCGTATTATAATCTAAAACCAACACAGGCCCATCGTTTGGAGAAGAAGCCATGTGGTTCAGATTTTGCCTCAGCTCAACATTAGTCTTTGTACTTGAACCAGTCAGTTTGACGAGGAACTCTTGGTAAGGCCACTTCACGATTACAGTCATGATCATGGGCCCAAAGAGCATAAACCGAGTTTGTTGAGTAGTGTCATTACTTCATGGCTTTGATTGTAGCTGGTATGGCTGGAGTGCAACAGGCCCACATCCTCATGTTGCAACGACCATCTTTAGGTGGGAATTGAGGGTGCCTGCCCTAGACCCCAACAGGAAATGGTCTGGGTGGTAGCCGGTATTCTGTGACATGTACGGCAGGTGGAGTGCTGAAAAGTTCTCAGTTGCGATAGATTCTTTCACAACATCGTGCTAGGGTCCCTTGGCGGATGTGCGCCCTGGCACCACCTCCGCGTTGATTTTCAACGGTGCCCGATGAGACAGCCCTAAAACCGTTGCACATCTTCCTGAAAACTCACACCCCAACAGTCTCGGGTAAGATTGGAACTGAAAAAAGAGGGGAGTTCAAAAATTATACTCCTTGACAGTTGTCATGGGGGATACCGGGATACATCTATTCGTGGGTTATATGTGATTTATTTAGGGATACGGAGGGTTTATGGACTATAGCCTATCGGAGTCCATATCAAGGCCCCGTTTATGGAAACGCTGCAGTGCGAACTTGCAGATGGTCATACTTCCCTAGTTCTTGGCGGTCAACCATGGACGTTGCTGAGGGGACGGTGTTGGAGAAGGATGCCGGCTTCGGCGGTCTGTGACATGTCTGCTTGGAGGCTGAGAGGAGCTAGACGGAGAGAGATGGAGAAGATAGTAGGAACACGGCAAAGAAGCGATCCCCTAAATCCCTAAATCCCTAATGCCCTAAATCCCTAAATCCCTAAACCCTGAATCTCTAATTCCCTAAACCCCTAAACCCTAAATCCCTAATTTCCTAAGTTCCTAAACCCTTGAACCCCTAAACCCTAAACCCTAAGGAAGCCCAGGGTTACTAAGAGTATAACTATAAGGAGGAGGTGATCATTTGACCCAGATCAAAAAGGTCCCAGAAGCTGCTGTGCAAGTTGGTCCAGCAATTTCGAGAAGGGCGCCGAGATGGAAGAATTGTGCTCCCACGCCTGGCAGGTCTTAGGGGTTACAGTAGGTTTCTGAATACCCTACTACTCCCTAAAACCTTGTGACACTTGCTTTTTCTTTCGGCTAGGGTATGTTGGGGTTTACAAAGGCTTCTGCGTTGCTATGCATTCGTTTTTCTTTGGGCTGATAAAAGCCTGTGATAGGGATGGGCAGACCTCCGGGTCGAGGTCATTGAGCGAAGGGTTTCTGCAGACTAAGGCTCCAATTTCGCATACCTTGGATGAGCACTCAGTTTTGTTGGGGGGCTTACTGTTACAGTCTTTTGGGGCCCTGACTTGTCACGGGGCTTGGGGGCTCTGGGGCATGGGTGGTGTTCCAGACTTACTCATCTTGATGGTAGCACCGTTGGTTTAAAGTTCGCGGTTTAGCGTCTAGGCACTTCAGAGGTCTAGATAATTACCAATATCACTTTGAGGTCGATTTTAACATACCCTGTACCAGAATAAATATACAAGGAATCTACAACCGCAACATCGGAATTTTATAGGCTCCTATTTTAGGCATGATAAAATCTGAGATCACCTTACTCCTGCTGCCAATAGCATTTTGTTCATGGCTCACCTCTAGTAGAGTGAGCCTCATAACCATGATTCACAAGAATGCCCCTACGAAAGAGAAGCTAAATACTCTGACCCCAGCAATAGTTCCAGACCTGCAGTGAAGCACGCGCTTGTCCGGCAGTGCTGAAGCGCTCATCTAGGAATCTAGAGGATGGCATGCTGCAGGATGTCAATTACAAAGTTTACCCACATCAAGTTACGTGACAACTGGCTTCTGCAATGGTACCTACCCTCTCCCAGCACCAAAGAAACACAGCCCAAAATCCTCCTTACTGCAATAGATTTATGCGGTACGAGCAGTGCAGCTTTCGTCCGCGCATTTTATGGGTGTATCTACTACGCGATGACCACGGAAAGTGACTCCATCACCCATTGCACTATTGCCCTATGGCTCTGAAGTCTAGAGGACGCCACAAAGTTGCTCCTACTTCAGTGCACAGGCTTGCTTTCCTGAGGCCAGAATTCCAAGATCCAATGGCTTCCCTTTCTTGCCTACACTTGGGGTATGCCTTGCCGCGTCGGGATTGATCCTAAGCCTCTACTTCACAAACCCTGCCCAAAACGTAGTCTCTGAGACAGGCTCTGTTTACCTTCGAGACTATGGCTCAATTTCTGGACCCTCATCGCTCAACTCCACTTAATCCTAAACTCGAAACTCTAAAATTCAACTGTTGGGCATCTTTCCAGGGCCCTTAACTTTAAGCGCTACCGAGGTCCCAAACCTGGGACGCTAAATCGTGAAGATGCCTCAGGTGATCCCAGAATCCCTAGACGGCCTCAAACTCCAAAACTCCAACCCGGCGCTTTAATGTCTAGGGCTTAGGGCTTAAAGTCTTTGAACTTCGAGCGAAAAAATGCAAACCAGGTTTCCCAAAATGATGCCTGCTCAGGCCTCAAATCCTTACAGCCCTAACGCAGCCCTGGGTAGCTGAAGTTCTGATTTCTCCAAACACCCCGACCCCCCTATACTACCCAATGATCCTTGAATATCTTCGATCAAGGATGCAACCCAGGGGGGCGGTACAGGGGGGCAATTCGTAGGGGAATGCAGAATAAAGGTATCGCATGTCGAGACTCTTGAGGAGGCTTGCTGTTGGTCCAAAGAAGTAAGACTCTACTCTTCTTACACGTGCTAAAGCCAAGAAAGAAGATCGTCTTGTTCTGTATCAGGGACCATGATATCCTTTTCAAACTATGATACTCACCTCAAGACTTGCAACGACCGTACTCCTCACCGTATAACCCCTGCGTAACCCCAGCATTAATATCATTTTCCAATTGGATTTCCATTAAACGCTAAGCCCTAACAATGTTGTTGTTTCCATTTCGTGCTCCATTTAAGTGCTAACCATTTAGGCCACTAACCCCTATATAACGCTATATACCTATATATAACCCTGTAAAACAACTGCTTCTTTTCCTTTACTATAGTCTCCTGAGACCTATAATGACGAAATGTCTTCAATAATTCCTTAGAGTTATATAGTATACTATGCTAAAAACTAAAATGAATTCCTAAGGAGACTACAGTATAAATCGATGTCCAAACATCCTCCCAGGGGTGACCTCAGGCTGCAAGACCGGCGCCAGAGGCGTGGTGGCCTCTCGCGAGCTGGACTTCAGGGTTTAGAAAGGCACCGAAAACGGGTGCTTTATGCGAAATATGTAGGAAGATATGCGGATGTGTATGCATGCAGGGCTCATGGTATATAATCAAATAGTATCCTCCCCCGAAACTAAAGCGGAACACCAAAAACAGGCATTTGAAACGGGCGTATACGAAGTTCCATGTTTGTTTGCCGTGGTGCGTCACGGAGGGATTGCCAAGGCAGCAGTTATTATTCGAGTATCTATAATTACTACTATTACAAATTACAAGTACTACTACTACTACTACTACTAGTAGTAGTAGTACTACTACTACTACTACTACCATTATTACTATTACTAGTTTTCTTATTCTATCATTTTGTTGATGGCTTGTTACTCTAGACTGGGGTAGATCGAATAGCTTTCTTTCTTGTCTTTGGAACATTACTGCATTCGCAGTCCCAGGTTGTAGTCCTGCAAAAGAAATCTAATAGAACTCCTCAAAAAGGCTGGGTTCACTCAAGATGTCGCTACTCGACTCACTTGGTAAGTCGTCGAAATTAGGATTTTGGGGTCTAGGGTTTATGGAATCATGTGGTACGTTGTTGTTCCTCTTTGGTCCCAGCTTGAAAAGGGGACAGTGCTTTTGACATCTCACCACTTGAATGTTTCATGATTCACAGAGGGCCTCTGGTCTAGGACCCTGAACCGGACAGCCCCAGTAGTAAGCATGAATATTCATTCCCTTCAGGTGTAGTCGGAATCTGCACGAAAACCCGAAAAGGGCTCTGCGTGCCGAAGCACGCCGGGGCCTTGTCCTAAGCCCAGAGGTCCGCAACGTCCTATTGGCTCCGACCGAAGAGGAACAGAGTATTTTAGTATTTGAATGTGAAAATCACCGACTGAAGCCTAGGTTGTGATGTCCCTCTCTGTCTCTCTCTGTTCTCTCCCTCTCCCTCCGTTGCTCCCGTTCCCTCTCACAAGCAAAAAGGATTCTGTGTTCATGGGCTGTCGCCACACCCGATTTTTCGGGGTCTACTCATCATCCGAGTGCACGGAATGGAAAAAAAGCAATCGCTTTGAACAGCTTCTTTTGCTTTGGTTGAAAACGGCTCTGAAACCCTGTTGAACAAAACTCCAGAACCAGCATAACCCTAAGCAACGCTAAGCCCCAAGCCCTAGTAGCCCTAAGCCTTGAGAAGCATTTCTCAGATCCCAACCTGGCCCAGGGTGGCCTCCAAGCCGCAAGGGCCTGATGCATAAAAAGTGGGTGGCTTCCACCCTAAACCCTAAAACCTGGGGGATTGTCAAAATTATGGTCCCTTTTTGGGTCCCTATTATAATACGGGGCCTAATACGGGGCCTAACTTAGGGAACCCAAAAAGGGACCATAATTTTGACAATCCCCCACCTAGACCCTAAACCCTAGATCCCGGACTATTGTCTGTATGGATTTCGCATGGCTTTGGCTATCTGGGACGTATGCACGAACATCTGGGCTTGTCAGGTGCAGGAATACCATCACAGCTTGTAGGGGTGTGTAGAATTCTGGTCACTTTATCCTATTTTCAGAAATTGAGATTATGCCCAGTTGGGTCTATTTTAGATTCAAGGTGGGGTCCCCAAAAGCTATTTGGGACTACTGTAGATACAAACAACCATCTAAGGTGGGGTCGTTCAAGTTGGTCCAGCCAATTGCGTAACTTACATCTGGTTAGCAAGGAATGAAGGACTAGATCCCTAGAGTACTACATTCGCCCCTACATAATGCCTAGTAACTACATAATCCCCAATAATACTGCAACTTCTATGGCCTTTTTTGATTCCTGAATTCCTCCTAACCAGAGGTAACAGTAAGAAGCCTTTGCGCTTTGAGCCGTGGCGGACTACTGTAGTCACGCATTTCTAAACCCGCCGAAACCATGAAAGGGGGGTTTCAGGGAACTGTTCTGGAATTGAGATGGGCCGTAGTCTAAACTCCTAGTATCCCCCTCAAATTACCCCTCATAATACTCCCTTATATAGTCCCTTATATAACCCCCTTTTAAGGACTTTGGACCCAGACCCAAAAGAGAGCCAGGGAATACTCCAAGTCAACAAGACAAATTACAGATGACTGTTTCCGAAATTAGGGAGTACCTTCTGGGGGTCCCTATAACAAGGATTCTAGAATTTCTGGGGGTCTATGTTTTAGTTCCCCCTATTGTTGGAAACCGCCAGATTGCGTCAAGCCAGCACTGTATACAGGATGCGGAGATTTATAGGGTCATGCCCCAAATCCTACTGCCTAAACTAGCTACTCCGATGCCAGGCTCCATAGCTTAAAGTACTAATCCGACCTTCTTACGGTAAACCAACAACCCTAGGCCCAAACGACGGGAAGCTTGAGAAGCACAAGACGATACAAGCATTTTCCACAGCAAGGGCTTTCAGGGAGAGTATGTGTCTAGCATTGACTCGTCCAAACAAAGACCAAAAAACGTCCCAGCCGTGTCCTCCATGCTGACCCCCATATCTCTCTATGAACCCCGAGAGAGGTCTCGTAATCACTGCATACCTTGGCAAAAACCTTTGAGGCCAAAAGGTCCACGGGATCTGAACAAAGAAACACAAGCAATTTCGACACTCCATAATAATCTGCTTCACCATGATAAAACAAGGGCGCATCGGGGGACCCAGGGATATGTTGGATAACCGAAGGATTCTGGGGGGTCCTCACTAAGGATTCTACAGGCGCCATTTTGTAAAACTCGCATATGTCATATGTCAGAGTTCGTCAGAAAGACCTCTATATAATCCTTCAGAGCGAACCTGAAAAAACCTTTCCATGCGGTTGATCAACTGTATTCCGACGCAGCATACCCTAAACTCTAAACCTCCAAACCTCAAACCATAGCTTGCAAAAGCAGCCTGCGTCTGGGATGTCATCTCCACCGTCTGGGATGCTCGGCTGCCTCTCTTTGTGTTTGGTCGGCTTAGGGTTTAGGGTTT